TTTCATGGTGAACTATCCCTTTAAAATGTTACTGAAATGTTTTGTTCCTTACTTTTAGTACTACTAATATTAATAATTATAATAATAATAATAATGAATTATGTACTATTGAAATACTTAACATACAAAGGAATAATATTAATAATATCAACAATAATAACAACAACAACACAATAATATTAATAATAAATTATGTACTAATTATTTACTTAAAATACTTAACATACAAAAAGCCTCATAACAACAACAACAACAACAAATGCACTTTTAAAACACTTAACGTACAAAGGAATAATAACAATAATAATAAAAATGATGTCTTATTAAATTACTTAACACACAAAGATGCAATAATAATAATAATAATACTAATAATAATAATAATATCAAAATAAAAAATGTAATAATAATAATAATAATAATACTAATAATCAATTAAAAAACTTAAAGACAGAATAATAATAATAATAATAATATAAAAAATAAAATAAAATAATAATAATAATACTAATAATCAATTGAAAAACTTAAAGACAGAATAATATTAATAATAATAATAATAATAATAATAAATTATGAACTATTGAAATACTTAATATCTAAAGGCATAATAATAAAATAATAATAATAAACAACAACAATAACAACAACAACAACATATAATAAGTAATAATAAGTATGTACTATTAAAATACTTGACGCACAAAGGAATAATAATAATAATAATAATAATAATAATAATAATAATAATAATAATAATAATAATAATAAAGTATGTACTATTAAAATACCTAACGTACAAAGAAATAATAATAATATTGATAATAATAATAAGTATGCACTATTAAAAAACTTAGCGTACAAAGAAATAATATCAATATTATTATTATTATTATTATTATTATTATTATTATTATTAATAATAATAATAATAATAATAATAATTTGTTATTATTATTATTACAAGTATGTACTATTAAAATACTTAACATACAAAGAAATAATAATAATAATAACAACAACAACAACAACAACAACAACAACAAAGTATGCACTATTAAAATACTTAACGTACAAAAATAAATAATAATAATAATGATAATAATAATAATAATAATAATAATAATAATATGTACTATTAATAATATTAATAATAATAAAAGTATGTACTATTAAAAGACTTAACGTATAAAGGCATAACAACATTGACGACATCAAATGTACTTTTAAAATACTTAACAAAAACCTAATAATAATAATAATAATAATAATAATAATAATAATAATAATAATAATAATAATAATAATAATAATAAAATGTACTATAACACACACGCACTCACACGCACACGCAAAAGCAGCAGGGTGCAGGACTCTCAACAGTGCTTGAGGGTCTCAGTGTGATAAGGCACATGGGAATGAGAGTGAACACACACAATCTTTCACATGAACGGATAAGCACTTATGGAATGATCACTGGCATATACAGTGATTAAGGTGAAAACACCTACTCACTGCAGCTGAGGCCAAAGAAACAAGACAGAGAAATTAGAGCAAGAGAAAGATGAGGTGGAAATACAGTAAACAAACAAACACAGGCCCACACACAGAGTTCAGATCTGGTAAATGCACGTGCGTGTGTGTGTGTTTGTGTGAGTCACTGAGGTTTACACACCTGTAGAAAGACTTTAGGTTAATATAAACATGAAGAAAACCACATCACAGCAAACACAAACCAGACTCATTAGTAGAGTTATGCAACATGTTTAAAATCCACATGTAACATTATTGTTGATTAAATTAAATTGGCTTTGCTCCTGCTGCTGTTGCCAAGACAGGTTAAAATGATGTCATTAAGATTTTATTTAAAGATACTTCACCGACAATTATTTAAACCTTAACTAAATAAAAATAAAATAATAAAATAAAGTTAAATAAAACTGAAATGTCATAAATCATATGTTATTTAAATATATTTCACATACAATTCTTTAAACCTAAAAAAAAATAAAATTAATAAAAAATGTAAATAAATAATAAAACAAAATTAAAATGATGTCATTAAGAACTTAAAGATATTTAAAATGCAATTCTTTAAACTTTAGTTAAATAAAAATTAAATAAAATTAAATGAAAAATATATAAAGTTTTATTTAATTAAAACGATGCCATTAAGATACTATTTAAAGATACTTCACATACAAATCTTTAAACCTTAGTTAAAAATAACATAAAAATTACATTAAACTGAACTAAATAAAATAAAATTTAATAAAAAATAATTTAATAAAACAAAAATAAGAAAATTAAATAACCTTAGTTAAAAAAAGAAACAAAATAAAACATTTAAATTTAAAGATAAAATGAATTAAAATTAAATTAAATTGATGTCATTAAGATGTTATATAAGTTTACATACAATACTTTAATCCTTAGTTAAATAAAAATGTTAAAATTATATATATATATATATATATATATATATATATATATATATATA